GTTTTTTCTTCCTGGCCCACTTCTCATGTCCTTCTTCACACATCTATCAAACTTCTTTCTTTTTTCCCTCACTTTTTGAAATAAATACAAACCCTCTTATAAGATTATCCTATAATTGTGTTGACCACATTGCTATAACAATGTGTCCATCCGTCCTTCCACCCATCCACCTATCCGGACTTTTGCTCCTCTTCCCCATTGCTGTGGAACTCTTCTTCATAAACCTATTATTCTGTCTCATCATGTAAAGGTACAAGATCCCAGTGATGATTGTATACCTAAAATGTACTGATAAGCTTAATGGAAGAAAATAATAACAAAAACAAAAGCAACAACATAACCCCCTACTATTCTGTCTGCAAATGGATTATTGTTTTCCTGAGTTCTACATATTTTACATTTTTCTGGTCTCTCATCTTGCTCTCCCTCATGGTGCTTGCTTTCTCTTTCTTTCTCACCACCAGATGCCTTTATTCTCAAATTGTTTGACAGCATACGGTTCTTCATGTTTTGTTTCTTGGAACATATACTCCCTTCTTTGATTTACGTTTCCTTGCTACCTTATTCGTCTAGGGGAGGCTTGCTTATCCTTGTAAGCTTTTATTTGGATATTTCCTTCTTGGTAGATTGTTTTCAGTTCCAGGTTTTCTCCTTCTGTTGTGATTTTGATCTAAAACAGTCTCTCAAAGACTTATGTGTTTAAAGGTGAGACTTTTGGAAGGTGATTACACCATGTCGGGGTTCTATACTCATCAGGAGCTGGCTTGTAATTCATCAAATAAAATAGCTCTATTAAGATGATCGTAGTCATCAACATCACCATTGATTCAGTGATGAGTTCAGAGCTGTGTGTGCTGTTTGGAAGAGGCCCCTGGTTAAAGCAGGTGGGCCCTAGGAAGGAATATTCCTGTACCTAGACCTATCATCCCTCTCTGGCCCTTTTCCCCTGCTCTCTGCTTTCTGGTTGCCATATAGTTGAAAAGCTTTCTTCTCTCACCTCCTTTTGGCATGCTGTTTCTGCCTTGCAGACAGCTGATAATGGACTGAAGCCTCTGAAACTATAAGTAAAAATAATCTCTTATGGATAAAAATATCACTGTAAGTTGTGGGTATCAGCTTTTTTGTCCTGGTGATGAAAATCTGATCAATACACTTTCATATGCCAATTTCTTTTGGCAATGTGATTTAGAAACTCCTCTTGCCAAGAGGTAGGGTCTTTGTTTCCATATCTCTTAAATTTAGGCAGGACTTATGGTTTCCTTTAACCTTTAACTTTCCCCTGAATGAGCCCTGGATAGCTTGCTGGGGAATTGAGTACCCTAGTCACATTCAGTGGTTGCTCTGGGCCTGGGCCTCAAGGAGCTGTGGACACTTTCACTCATTCTTTATCACATTGCTCATTTGTCACTGAGTGAGCTCTGGCTAATTTGCTGGGGAATTGAGTAGCCCCAGTCACATTTAGTCATCACCAGATATGTGAGTGAAGCCATCTTATGCTATATAGCCCATATCTAACTGCAAGTGATTAAGCAAAACCTTCAAAGATCAGCAAATCATGGCCCAAGTGCAGTGGCCATGCAGAATTTCCTAACTCCCTCACAGGCTCAAAAGCAACAATACATACTTACCTTCTGATGCTACTGAGTTATGGGGCAAGCTGTGATCCAACAACAAGTGATAACTCTTTCCTTGCCCTATTCAATAGCTGTAACACACTCCCATTATATACTTCAAACACAACTTTCCTTGTCTTTCTCTTTCAGAAATGTGTAAGCTCCTTGAGAACCAGGGGCGACTTTTTCTTGACTCCCCAAATTTAAATAATACCCACCTTTTAAATAAATGTGAGTCTGAAAAGTATCAGTGATTAATGAATTAATTAAGATTTACCAGTTGCCCAGGAGATAGTTTGGAAAGCAGACAAATCAGGATTGGAACTCCAACTTGATTTCCTATACTGCTACTTCTGATTTGGTTCACCTCATTTAGTCTTATTTCCTCAACTACATACTGAAGACATGGATAATGTAAGTGCTGTAGAACTGCAGTGATGAGTTATCAAGATAGTTTTCCTTCTCTCTCTCCACCTAGTAAAGGTGTATTCAGTATAAGAATTAAATGATTAAAATGCATATAAAGCATTTAGTATGGCACTTGGCTTATAGTGCATTAAATAAACAATAGCTGTATTAATATGGTCATGACTATAAACACCACCATCAGAATTGTTGTCAGTTCTTGTAGCAAAAATTGCTATCTACATCCCCTTGGCATCAATCATTTTTGGATATGCTTACCTAAGGGTGCCCTCCAATGGAAACTGTCTGGGCCTATGCCTGAGGGTTTCATCTGGCTACTGACATTCTCTTGGTCCACATGGAGTTAACTCTTTTCTGCTTTCCCCAGAGAGCAATGCTCAGCCAAGGAAGGTGGGAGAAATTGGCTAAGTACCACAATGTCCTTGTCCTTGGTTAGGATAAATTCAATGTATGTTCTATATTGTATCTCAGAATTGCCTAATGGGATTGTGTCACTTTTGGTCACAGTAGTGACAAGGTTTCTTTTCTGTCTTCTTTCTTTTTGTGTCACATACTCATTTTCCTACAAAAGGCATATGACATAACCTCCAGAATAAACACCAGTATCAAAAATTATTTTCTTGGGCTAGGGATTTAGCTTGGTGGTTCTGCTGCCTGCCTTGCAAGTGCATGGACCCAAGTTCAATCCCCGGTACCAAAAAAAGAAAATATTTTCTCAATAGCTACTTTTGGAATAATCAAAATAAGATATATCACTCTTCCTCATTTAATTTATCCTTATTGCTTCAAAATCTGATGACTTCCCTTAAAAGTGTGGATATCCTTTTGGTCTCCCGTTACTCAAAGAATGCATCCAATCCAGTAGATGACAGGATCAATCTCAGAATATGGTATATCAGCTTTGGGTTTTCTCTGATGTTTTCATCATGACCCATTCTCTGAGTGCATCAAGACAGAGTTATTTTGTAATTGATATTGAGCATCTCTGCTTATTTTGCTGGACACCTGGAACTTTGTTATTGATTCTTGGCCAAGAAAGGTAAAATGTACTAGCTCGTGATTTATAAGGTGCTGATAAAAATCCAAAACTCTACCAGAGTTTATCTACTCAGTTTACTGAAACCATATTGATCGATGTTCATAAAGCTTGCTTTTAGCTACCTAAGCTGTGAGTGGAGATATCCCCCAGTAAGCTTGAGTCTTCCTTGGCTTTCCTGAGACCAAAGTATGAGCTATACACCGGATGCTTCTTCTTGATACAAAGAAGAAGTGCATCCTCTGTGATGGAGAAAAGACTCTGGGAGCCTTGCTGGAAGTCTCAGGCTGCTCTGATGTTTGCAGGTGCTTAGGTTCTCCCACTGGACTGCATATTTCACAGCATTTACAGCTTAACATGTGTGCACCTTATAAAACCGGATGAATCTATCTAAGGCTTTTTGATAATAAAAATTTTCCAGAGGGATCTGGGTTGGAGGAATGAAGGACTTCTACAACATACATGTTTGGAATCTGTTCAGACCATTATAGGAGTGAAAAAGCAATACTACATACTTTGTTGAGGTCTTAAAGTATTATTCAGCCAAGTTATCCTGAATAACTCTTCACAACACAGATTTTGAGGTGGTCCATGCTCTAGCAATGGCTGATCGCTTCTTGCAAACTCAGATCTGCCTGCCCAGGTCACTCTCTATTCCTCATCCGTTCACCTCCCCTGTAGGCTTTGAACAATGGTTATGAACTCCAAGATGTGAAGACTTCACCCCTGAGTATGATAGGTTTTTTTTTTGACAAATTTTCTTTAAATTCATATATTCTTCTCTTTCTGAAATACCAATTTTAAGCTGTATTTTAGTTTCTCCTTCAATGTTTTATCTACAAATAACCCAGCAGGAAAGTTTTACTTTTGAAGTCATGCTTGGCTGGCCAAAGCCTCTGGTTCGTAAAAAATTCATACGCTTCTTATTTAGAAAGATACCTCTCACACAGGCAGCTTCTCAGTGGTTTGGGGAAAAATATTCCCAGAAGTCAGGGGCCATGCACAAAGCATGAGCGGACTCACAAATACTTGTAGAGGACTCACATCTCCAAGTGTTATAAGATAATTTACCTGGAATATGAGATTTCAGAGAAGAATTCTATTTCTTTTCACAATTTGATATCAACACACTCTGGAATACATATGCCATAAATAATTTTTTCAAGCAATGGAATAAATGACTGTTCATGAGTGTGCATTAAAATGCAAATCTGACTTCAGAAAGTTAGAATTCTGTTTGGAGATTCATAAAGAATATGATTTTTATCTATGCACTGAAGAAGATTCAACATATTTGATTTCCAAAGCCACGTCCCTAAACCAACTCACCAGCATTTCCTACATGGGTGCAAACATGTTCTGCTGTTTTCTATGATTGAAACACCCATGCCAACCAGTAAGGCAGAATGGATTTTTTTGAAAACATAGTTCAGCTAGAACATCCTTTATCCAAAATGGCTGGGACCAGAACTGTTTCTGATTTTAGTTTTCTTTGGAATTTGGAAATATTACCATAGACTCTACTTTCCAAGCATCAGTAATCTGAACACCTAAAACCCAAAATACTCCAAAATCTGAAACTTTTTGAGCAGCATGTTGGCTCTCGAAAAACTTGGGATTAAATATTTACATTAGAGATGCTTCACACCTATGACTTCTTCCATTTCTCTACTAATGTTTTCTTAATGACCTCTACCTTCAAGACATATTTCCACTTTCAAAAGGTTTCTCCACTTCATCTCCTATATCAAGCCTCTTCAAAGCCCCTCTTTAAGCAATAGGGCCTAGAACAGTTCTTAGGCATGCAGAAGTCATCCACTGAATATTTGTTAAACAAATACCTGTGCTTTTCTGCTTTTTTCCAGTAGTGCATAATTTTAAAATTAAACGCAAAGGGCAGAAGCAAACATAATTTGCTTTCCTACCTTTTTTACAATGGCTGTAGATAAATTAAAGACTCCAGAGAAGGCTTGCTATTTCTGTTCTGTATTTTTTCATTGGAGTTCTTCAGTTTTCTTCATTTTTCCTCAGTGTTCATTTTGGCAAGAGGCAGAATTCACCGCAGTGTATTTCTGTAACAATATGGTACCAACATGACTCAGAACCCCACCAACAGTATGCTCTGTTTAAAAATAAATATATAACATCATTTACTTTGCACTCTCCTACATGCAGCATGCCCTTTCTTTACCGTTGCTATCATTTTGTCAGGCATGCAGCTACAGATCTGTCTGTTATTACCTGGGCACTCCTGGGTGGTAGTAGAGCCCTTTACACACATATACACACTTAGCACCTGGAAGACATCTGCGCTGCGGCACTTTCTTGATTCTTTGTAATCATTTCATTACGAATCTATCTGCCCAATAAACGGCGAGTCCTCAATCCCTGAATCTCTGAGGCTTAGCTCAATAACTGACAGTTGTTTATTGTTAATATACTTTTGCATCATTCATAGTACTCAGGTTATAAAGTCATTGCCAGTACTGAATTAGCAAATACCAAACCATTGTTTCCAGAAGAAATGCAGGTTTTTTTTCTGTCTCCAACATTTTCATCACCCAACCAGTATAGAAGCTTGTTTTGTTTATCTCTTGAAAGACAGCTTTATATATATTGTTACTTACTTAATATATATTGTTGATTCATCAACATTGAATTCACAGGGAGCAGCCCTGTAACTCACAGTTGAGCAAAGCTTATCTAATAATCTATGTCTTTCCTCCATAAGGCCCATCACAGCCTTCTCATGACTAAGAGCATAGGACAGCAGCTCAGTACTACAAACAATGAAATTACTGACATGAGGCACAATTTTTTTTTTTTTTTTTTTTTTTTTTTTTTTTTTTTGGTTCCAGGGATTGAACTCGGGTCCTTGCGCTTGCAAGGCAGGCCACCGAACGGCTGAGCTAAATCCCCGGCCCAAGGCACAATTTTTTTTTTTTAAATGAAAAGGCAAATGTATAAAGAGGAAACCCGCAAATATTGAGGATCAACCATGTATGTGTTGGGTGAATCAGAGTTAAATGTAGATCTTCAGTTTTTATTTCCCTCTAGAAGAGCAATAATAAATATTATGTATAAGGTAGGAAGGAACTAACTATAGACTTCATATTCTTCACAAAAGATCTAAGAACAAAAATAAGTTATTCTTTCTTATCTTTTAACAAACACAAATTCCAGATCCCAGGTCTTCTGCCTGGTACTAATCATTGTTCAATTCTCAAACAATCCAAAGATTTTCCCTGACATAACTATAGGTTCATATACTATCTTGTCCATTACAGGTCAATCTAAACTATTCCCAGAAGGCTGACTCATTTTTCTCCTTGATAATAAGAAATACTTGCTTTTGTTCCATTATATACATCTATGAACTGTAGGTACTCAAGGAACACACTTTGCAGGCTTGTATTTTTTTTCTGTAAAAATGCCACTACTTTGTGACATAAAGAAAAGAAAAGATCATCTGAAAAAGTTTATACTTATATTAATATATGTTTGAGGTAGATAATAATTACATTCATCATAGGGAATTGGTATATGTACATAACACATCTTAATTCTTTTTATGTGGCCTTTCCCCATGCAGATTCATCCCTGACTTATTTTTGGTTTATGGAATATGATTTTTTGCTAAAATTTTCTTCTCAAATGTATGTTCTATGTATTAAAACACCATTTCTAAGAACAGCAGAACTTGCTAAAAAGTAATACTTTGCATAGATAATGAAAAATTCTAGAAAGGCTCTGGGGATTCAGTGAGGCCTTAGGTCTCATCCCCAGCACAAAAAGAAGGAAGGAAGGAAGGAAGGAAGGAAGGAAGGAAGGAAGGAAGGAAGGAAGGAAGGAAGGAAGGAAGGAAGGAAAAAAAGTGCAAGGATGGTTACAAAAGCTTATGTATGTTTAATTTAATGCAGAATTGAATAAAATACAAATAGACATACTTTCTATTAAGAGTATTAAGATAGTCTCAATATATTTCAGAGTATCAGAAGACAAATCACTTTATCATGGAATAGAATTATAGGACTGATATAATCATATCTACTGCATAACAATAAGATAATTTAATATATTTTGCAAGAGAAATATTTTCAATGAAGAAAATAAACTAATTATATTTTATTTATACTTTATTAATATATTTATATTGTATTACATCAATATTATATTATATTATTTATACATAATCTATTTTTAGTTTTTCCTAAGAAGTAGTATGAAAATTTTCTATTTACAGTAAAAATAGTAAGAGTGCTCAAAGAAATATCAGACATCATAAACTTCCTTTAACACATAATCATATCCCCACAGAAAACTCTGTTAAAAAATCTTTCTTTTTGAATATGTATTAGGAAATTTTTATCTACATATCCTTGAAAAAATCCATATTACCATTACTGATTTTTAAAATTTGAATGTTTAATATACTATGTTTGAATAGGAGCTATGTTACTCAGAACTTATTGTTTATGTACATCTTAATACAAGGTACTGATGGCAATTAAATTTGATATTTACATTTATAACCTTCAAGAGTCAGGGCTTGGCTCTATTATCAACAGATTGGTTCACCTTGTAGGAGCTGCACTATTCCTTAAGGTTATTGATTCATCTCACAAAAAGAGACATATGCCATTTTCAAGTACATGGAATGGTCTTTGGGACAAAATGGAAATGGTCTCAGTAAAGTAACTGGCCAATAGTGAATAGTAAAAAATGTCAGCTCATGTTTTTATTAAGTACAACCAAACTACACAGCCTTTTAGTCTTGAATTTAGTTCTTAAAACCAAAAATTAGTGGTCAGCCACTTGAGAATAATTTAGAAAAAAAGAATCCTATCTCACACACATTTTGACTGAGAAAGAAAAGCATTTTTATGGTTGATATGTGTATAGAGACCACTCATCATAGAGTCATTACTAAGTTTTTACATGAGTTAAGCCATTGTTTACCATTCTTTTTTGTAGAGTCTCAGGTTACTCAGCCTCTCAGTATTGGGTGTGTAAACCAGTATGTGGCATAGAGATCATCATTTTTGGCACATGTTCAAAAAATACAACATCTCATTACAAATAGCACCTACCTCTGATATTCATTGTTATTGGGCTTACTGGTAAATTACTACAGCTTTTGAAATTCTATTTTGCATAAAAGAAACCAAAAATTTACCAATAGCTGTGCTAGAAAAAAGTTATAATTCCTATATATTTTCTTGGTTTCCCTCCTTTAATTAAAGGATAAATGACATCATTCACACAGACGCATTTGAAGGTGGTTCCAGAGGCAGGGTGATTAGAGTCCCATCAACTTGGAAATCTGGTAATGTCTACTACATTATTCATTTTTCCATTCACTTCCTTTTGTACCCAGAGAAGCAAATTTGTAAATGGTGGGTTTGGTTTGTGGTCTATGGTGTTATATCAGGAAAACAGGACTTTAATTTTTCTTAAAGAGCATAAGCTTAAGGCATTATCTTCATTAGTACTAACTTCTGGCCAAACAAACTCCAGTGGATTATGACATTATTAAAGATGAAAGTCTTCTAATAACCTGGAGGTATTAGGGGAAGAGAAAAATAATCATTTGCATGGAGAATATTTAACTCTCGATTTATTTTTTAACCTATTGTTTTAGAAACTCTCCAACAGAAATTAATACAGATTATTCTTCTTGCAGGTATATTTTCACCACATGCCATCTGCGATAGCTTTTTCTTTGTATGTACCACATAAAGTGGACAATTTTTCCTTCTGGTAGATGCTACACTCCTCACCTGATAAGCAAGCTCAAGATATACAAAAAGGTTTCATTATCAGGTTTGACAGTGTAAAAGCCAGGCAGAAAACAAGCTAGCAAAGACAGTTTAATACAAACCTCCTCTGAGAATTTGAAAACAACATCACATTTATTTCCTGCTACTCATCTGCTCCACCCCATGATCTCTGTGTCTATATACAATAAAATATTCATGATCAGAGCTCAGCATCCTTTCCTCTTTCCTCAGTGTGAGAATAAGGTGTAGTCTGTTTCCATGGGAGAAAGCAACATAATGGAAAGACTACAGTTTTGAATAAATAACTGTTGGAACTGAAAACCCAGTCTCCTAAAAAAAATGGATTTTCTCTCATTCAGAGCAAGATAACTGTGACATATGGGATTGTATTTTTACAGTAATTATTCATACCTTTGTCGATTGCAGTGAATTCTCTCTAGGGAAACTTTTCAGAGCTCACAGAACTACATGCTGTTTTTGGATTTCCTCAAATACACACTGAGCAGTATTTTGTTTTTCTTTTCAGGTAATAATGAAACAGTTTTAAAAAACAGTCTCATCTTCTTCTACAGGCAAATACCTTGTTTGAATGTCTAGCCTCTACTTATGAGAATTTCTCCTGAGACAATAGAAAGATTGAGTTTTTCAGGATTGTGAAGATTCTCATGTAAATGCTCTTTTAACCTAGTAGAGCAACTAATAATGTGTTAGCTTTTATTTTCATAGTAACTATGCTTTATACTGAAAAACACCAAACAATAAAGTTTAGATACACTACATTTCTTGTCCTATAGAAAAGCCCTTATTCATAAAATTCCCAGGTTTTAGCTCTATTTTTAAACTTAATTGACTGAACTATTCTATATGTGAGATTTATGTGTTAAATTCCAGGTAATGACAGCACACACAGAATTTTTAGATTAAATGAGCCATACATGTATAAACTAAAATATTATGCAATATTTAGTTTAGAAAAGCTAATTCATAAACATCTGAGTTATACAGAAATCAAATTACATTTAATTTGATACAGAAAGCAGTACAAGATAACAGATCAAAACCTATGGGTCATGTTTTTGAGTATGAAGATTCTATACCCTCCATTTTCATGGACGGTCTTGCTAAGCTTGCCCTGGCTGATCATGCTAAGCTATGTCCTATGACACAGGACAAAATGGGAGAACAGTGTAAGAGAGGTAGACAGGAAAAGGAAGGGAAAGGGAAGATGAAAAGGAGAAGGAGGGAGGGAGTGAGAGGGAGAGATGCAATTCATATTTATAAACACTTTCAAT